AAATAAAGAAATATCAACATAATAAAAATCGTCATGAATTTTATATAAAAGTGAATTTTTAAACTTAGAACCATTTCAAGTTTATATTCGTTCCTAATTTCTCTCCATTCTACACTACTATCTAACAAATAAATATGTTGACGTTATTAAGTTTTCAAATATATAAGTATTTTCAGAGCCGTCATAAAACTAGTAATGAATTTTTAACGTGGTGCTTTTGGTTGAACACATATCCCCTTATTTGTGGCGTTATCGTGCGGCTTTTTGTGGTTGTTTGCGGAAGTGCGCATAAATAAAAGTTCGTTTATTACACTTTTGCGGAATTTCGGCAATTTTTTGAGACTAGACCGCGTCTCACTCATTTTTCTAATAGCTGGCACGCTTTAACGGCGTACCAGCTATTAGTTATGGACCAATAAAGAATACGACCTTCTGCCCGACCATAAATATAAAGTGGGAGATATATGCTTGGCCATTAATCTGACTGGCCCAATAAGTAAATAAACCTAAAGAGTGCATCGCGTCGACATAATTGAATTTTTCTCTTGTTTGGAAATAAATATTCTAAGCACGTTGCACACTAAAAGAGTTGAACGTGAAACGAAGATAAAACATTCGTCAATTATGCAACGTGCATTGAACTATCTGGAGACCCTTAAGGAAAAATATCTTCTAGTGAATCGTCAGTGCATTAAAAACAAAGCTTTTTTAAACTTTACAATTTTAGTTTTCCGTTACGGAATATTTGCAGTAGAAACAGTTAATTCAGTTATATTTGTTAGTTGGTTGTAGCAAACTCCTGTCACTTTTAATGTGAAAAACTAACTAAATAAGAACGCAAGATTGGACTGCCTACCTATTTTCACTGCCTTAGGTTGTATTCATAGGATTCGCTAGAGTTCTGACCGAGTTTACTTCGATAACCCTTGGACCCAACTGTTCCGAAAAAACAGAACAAGTAAAACAGCTCACAAAAAGGTTATTTTCATGTCAGGGACCGTAAATAACACTGCGTTACAAAATTTGACCAAAAATTTGATTAAATATTTAGCTTAATGGCTGCTAAAAAATCTTATTCGGTTTGAGTCCCCATTTGGAAATGTGTTCGCCAAAAAATTGCCCTACACAAGGATTTTAAGGAAAAGGACCTCAAAGTTGAAAAGTGCTGTTATTTGTTTTTTTTAAGCTTCAGATTCTTGGTTTGTTAATAAAAAAAATAAACAAACAATAATTTTATGATTTTTTTATTAGTACCCCCGCCCTTTATTATTATAAGTGTCTTGGTGTCATTTATCTTATACAATTCGTCCAATAGTATTATTATAATCAATAAAATTTAAACAGATAAATTTACATTAAACAAAAAAACAAACTTCTAAAAATGAAGGGCGATGGCACTCCTGTTATGTTGACCGCAGCTGTATGTCTATGAAAATGTCTTCTTTCGTTTATAGCTCCCCTCAACAAATTCTACAGTTATTTTGAGTAGGGGGCTTGAAAGATAAAGAGTGGCATTTTTCAAATGCTTTGACGAACTACCGATCCAAGAATTCGTTCGACTGTAATTGCGTTTGAAATATAGCAAAAACAGATTACTTCCAACTTTGACATTCATTTTCTCTGAATCCTTGGCCAGGGGAACTTTTTGGCATGCACAGTTTTAAATGGCGATTCAAGGCGAATCAAATTATCTTACAGCCATCGGAGTAAATTTTTGATGCTAACAGTGTAAATAATATTAATATACTTTTTCCAAGCAAAAAAAAACATGGCTAAAGAACAATCCTAAAAAAAGAGGCAACTATACCAGTATATTACTTATGAATCAATTCAATATTCTGACTTTTTTTTCAAATTTTATTATTTTTTTTATTAATTAATTTAATTTATTATTATATACTATTTGAGTTTAATATAAATAAATTATTTGTTGTGTTTTATTTAAAATCTTGAAATAATGATAATTCTATGAGTTTTATTTAAATTAAACTATACGTTGAGTTTTATTTTTATACCCTTGCAGAGGGTATATTGATTTCAGTCAGAAGTTTGCAACGCAGTGAAGGAGACGTTTCCGACCCCATAAAGTATATATATTCTTGATCAGCATGACTAGACGAGTCGATCTAGCCATGTCCGTCTGTCCGTCCGTTTCTACGCAAACTAGTCTCTCAGTTTTAAAGCTATCGGGCTGAAACTCTTCCAAAAGTCTTATATCTTTTGCAGGTAGTATATAAGTCGGAACCAGCCGGATCGGACAACTATATCTTATAGCTCCCATAGGAATAACCGGACAAAAAAAATTTAAAAAAATTATACCTTTGGTGTTTTTTAGCATATAACCTCCTAAGCTTGGAAATAACATTTTTTAATTAGTTTTGAATTTCGAATTAAATTTTATCAAAATCGAAAGACTATATCATATAGCTGCCATAGGAACGGTCGTAAAATTGGTTGAAAAATAACATGAAACAAATTATAGCTTCGATGTTTTTTAACATATAACCTCCTACGCTTGGAAATAATTCTGAATTTCGAATTAAATTTTATCAAAATCGGCTAAATCGACTCGTCTAGTGATGCTGATCAAGAATATATATACTTTATGGGGTCGGAAAAGTCTCCTTCACTGCGTTGCAAAGGTATAATGAAAGAATCTTACGATTATATCATATAGCTGCCATAGGAACGATGGGAAATGGGAAAATAGAGAAAAATAATTATTGCTTTTTTATTTATGATCATATTCTCCTGTACTTCAGCATGAAGCATTATTTAATAATTAAGAGTTATGATTTCAATTAAAGAAAAATCGGATTACTATAAAAAGGATCGGAAAATTAAAGTGATAATAATACAAAAACCGTTACTATAGTAACTAGTTACTATTTACTATAGTAAATTGAAGTGGAATATTATTTAAATATTTCTCTAATTTTTTTTTAGTTTTCTAAAAATCGGAAAGGTCTGTACATGCATTGCTCCCACAGGAAGGACCTGCAAGGGTATAGAAACTTCGGCCTGCAGAAGTTACGAAAGCTAGCTGGTTTTTGAGATGTTTTTAAGATGTTTAACTAAAATTAAGATTGCGGCTCAAAAAAGAAACTTCGGTAACATGCTCGGATTGTTTCCCGAAGTGATGTTTTGAAACATATATACAGTTGCCATTAGTGACTCGTACACTCAGAAAAAAAATGAAGTATTTCGTGCTTGAACCTAGTATTTTCGGTGTCAAAACTTCGCCAGGCATGGAAAATACAGAACGCGAGAACAAAATACTACTTCTGAGCACGAATTTTCAAGACCGAAAATACTAGTTTTAAGAACCTTTCAGTCTTCAGTCAAGTATACATAATTCTTAAATCAATTCATATTTGGACTAAAAACAAGAACGATTTGATAATAAAGTAAGAAAGTTGCAGGCATGATTTAAGGACGAATAATTCTTAAATCAATATATAAATATTATGAAATTAAAATGAGTTTTTATTTTATGCTAGTAAGAGAAATAAATATTGGAAACTGAAACAAAATAAACGAGATATATATAAATAATATTAATGTTTTAAGTTTACTTACGACTTGCCGCTCACGGACATTAACACTGTCTAATATATGCGCCTTATATACCGAGTACTTTCAGAATAAACTGTTGGGAATTATTAGAGTTGTCAGACATTAAAATTCCAAAAAGTGCCTAATATGAGAATTTTTTGAGCACGAACGTTCTTAAATGTTAAGCATGCAATTTTTCTTAAATCAAGGCTGTTTGTACTTGTTTTTAGCACGGTGTTTTTCCCTGAGTGTATGTTTCGTTTTGTGAGTAAGATCACAGCTAAGATCGAAATTCATGCAGGGCTCTATTAAGCATGCAGATTTTAGAGATTCTGGCGCAACGCAGTGGGACTTAATGTTTTAATGCTCTGACTTTTTACTGTTAATAAATTTGCTGATTTTCTTACAGTGAGCTGATCTTGTCCATATGCCCGCTAAATGAGAGGCTACGGCCCTCTGATGTCGAATATTGCTAACATCTTTTGGTGCTGAAATATAAAATCTATCGCCTCTGATAGCCTTCAACCAGTAAGAAAATTTTGTCGAATGGCTCAATTAAGAGCGAATCAGATACCGCCGGAAATCACCAACAATTCGGATATTGGTCGCTCATAACTTGTGCAATTGATCTTGCACCCAGATCTTTGTAAAGAATGGACATATTTTGATGTCAAAGGGGTTTATATATGAAGGGTTTCCCTTTTTTCCCTTGGCTGAACCCTAATTTGCATACATTTCCCTCGGAACCAAAAAATTCTGGCACTTGGAACTTTTCTTCCTCTGGTCTAGTTTGTAAACATTTGTTGTGCAGATTTATGGCTGGATATGTGGAACCGCATTACCACGTAAGCGAAGCTAAAAATAAAAAACCAAGCCAAAAAAACTAAAGAGAGCAGAGGATGGAATTTGATTTAAGGCCTTACACTGCATGTAGGATGTTTTCATATTGGATATGCTCCGTGCACATGCATATGCCACTACCATGTACCCTATAAGTTCGAAATAAATATACTACATTGTTATTAGTTATATAAAATTACAAAAACTGTAGTAGGGTATCGAAAATTAAATAAAGCCTTGTACCTTATACATTAAAGACGCTGAGTTTAACAATTTCTTTCCTTTCTTCTAGATTAGGATTTTATTATTTCATGAATTGTGTACTCATAAATGTACCTGCGAATACGGTAAGGGTAAATCCCTTAAATCCAAGCCGCGTAATTGCTTGTTTGGCAAGTGTAAGTTACACTATTGCACATTCGGCTAGACATTGTGGCGCAATGTAGTTCAAGGCAGCAGTTTACTTAGCCTATAAGTCTTGTGCTGGGATTTCCTCCACCTTAAAAGACCTACCTGCCCAGAGCCCCCCTGCTTCCATTCTCATTCTGGGCACTCACTTAGCAGAGCATTTTCACCTGCGATGCGTTTATAATGGAATACGGGAAGGTATGAAAAGCTGCGAGCGACACATCGCGTATACGCCACGTTGTGCATAGTAGTTTGGAGGATGAGCAGGTGGGCGGGTGAAGGAGCATTGCGTGTTTGTTTTTTGCGTATGCATATTCCACTTGCTGGCTTTCCTGCTTTTCATGTTGTCATTCATTTGTTTGACGACTTTTGTTTGCTGGCAATCAGCCAAGGCTAATAAAAGAACAAAATAAGCCAAATAAAACGCTTCAACAACTAGTTTCAGTTGAATTGTGTTGACTAAATACCATTTTATTTTATTTAAGGTTCCGTCAGTTAGATTAAATTGAGAACTCTAGCCTTGTGGTTCCTGAGAAAGGGAAAGTAATGGAAATTGATTGAACTGTGTGGCTAGAGACTCTTTGTGGGAATTAACAAAGTATTTTAGGTAGGTTTACTATTCTTGCCAGCTTTCCTAGTAGTCGACGGTGACTTGGGAACAGCGGAGCCAGTGGGACTCCTCTGTTTGGAAATTTCATCGGTCTGCCTGGAAAACACGAAGCGATGATACTGTTTGGCCAAATTTGAGCACTGCAGAGGTTCGTTGGGATACCGTTGATAGCAGTGTATCAGTTCCTCCTCGAACTTTCCGATCTCGCCTTCACAGTCCTTGGCCCATTTTACGGGCCTTCCAAAGCGGTCCTGAACTCGCTGCAAGGACTTTCCGAACTCAGTTTCCTCAACCTCATGGGAGCGCCTTTTCCAGGACTTGGCTACTTTTACAGGATGCATATCCTGCACTTCATTTGGTTTGTGTTCCATGGTAGTGGGAGAATCGGAACGCGCTTCTGCTGTGGGCCCTTGACTGCATTTTTCGCAGATGGTAGTCCCCTGTTTAGTGGATTTGGTGGTGGCCTGATCGATCCTATGCACCACATCCCGAGTAATCTCAAAAGGCATAGGATTTGCCATCTGCACAGTCTGCGGCTTGCTGTTGCTGGCACCCATTTTTTAATATTTTCTGAGAGCTCGCTTCGACTTTTCAGTTTATATTTATTGCTCCTTTATGGAGTGACAGATAATTTGAAATATTTGACCTCAAATGCGAAGCCTTACCTTTGGTTTCTTCCCTAAACCGTTCGTTCTATCTTTTTTGTAATTAATACGACTCAAATGCATTCGACCAACAAAAAACTTAATTTCCTAACCTTTTTTAGTCGGCCAGCTGTCAGATTAAAGCATTTTGGCTGTACAAGTATTCAACATGCTGAGTGTCGATTTGTTTAGTCGAACTGTTTATCATTTTGGTCAAAAAAATGTATACGAATGTAACGATTTGGATTATCTCGTAGTGCTCGTAAAGTGGGTCACTAAGATCTAAGCTTGAGACACAAACAAAGAAGGCTTAGATTTTTTTTAAATTCATGCCAAATTTTACTTGTTGCATTTATTTTTACACGATGTTTTGATTTCATATTTAACATACGTCATAAAATTTCTCATATAGGATACCTCCGATGTCGACTAAGTTGTTAATTAGGACACTCTTTGTCATATATTCGGATCTGCAAAGCGGCGTCAACTTTTAATATATTAATACAAATTGGGTCATTGAGTTCTCGTTGAGAAGTGCAATCTCGACTGGCAGCATCACTAGCACCATGAAAACTATATATAGTTAAACAAATATATATCAAATATTACCTTCAATTATCCATGCCCCACAAGGAGTGTTTTGAGTGTTTTAAAATATCACAAAAAGTAGAGAATTTAAAAAAAATGAAAAAAACGATTACTCGTTTAACACAAGATTTCGCTTCAGAAAAAAATTACATTAAAAATCTCGTGAGCGACCAATGTCCAATTAATTCCTAATTCTTCAATTAATGGCGTTCAAATCTTAAATTTTTAGTGTCGTCTCTTAGAGTTTTAATGTGTCTAAGTTAGCCGTTTAGCCGCTAGGGTCAAAAACTATTCTTGACCGTTAACTATATCTGCCTCTTTCCCCTACATGCTTTTTAAAGAATAAACTTAAAATAATGAACAGGAAAGAAATGTGTTTCCTCGAACTTTAAGTCCCTGTACCTCGAATATTCTACTTGGCAGATGGAAGTTCGAAGCTCGATCGACTTGACTTGCTGACTGGGTTAAAATGTAAGCAAGTTGTAAAATATTTTTACCACCTTTCCCCACTGCAAAACGTGTTCTTTGAAGTTCATTGTTTTTCTGCTGAATAAGAACGAAATTGTAGCTGTGGCAGCCATATAAGGTTGCAGCTTCTGGCACGTGCCCCTGTCATTAGCCCCTCCTCACCTCAACTAACACTCGTTTGCGGCATCTTAATTGTGCTGTCAATTATTTTGCATATTTGCACAGATCCAACAACAAATTTATACGGGCTAAAAGATAAATAAAATGAAATAAATTTGTGATGGTCAAGCGGAAGCACAGTAAATTGTAATGGGAAATGAATTTAAATATATGCAAAATGAGCTCAACGAGGATGCTAATGTATGGGTGCTGGAAAATGACAAATCATGCGAAATGGCTGAGAGGTCGCACTAACTGAATAATATTTATTGATTGTTGATACTCGATTGCTCATGAGCAATTTACACAGCAGCCAATTAAATGATTTGGCAGAAAGGAAGGAGAGATTTTCCGAATGCCAATTTGGCATAGGAATGTTTCATCAATTGCTCAAAGTCAACGGGCAAAAATCGCCAAAAATCTTCTTGTTTTAGGTATTTCGAATGGCGGACCAAGCACACATTTTTAACATTAAACAAATTTTCAAGGGAATAAACTATTGAGGATGGTGTGATTGCAGACCATCGGCTGGTATACGCCATCCAATGCTTTAAAGAGTCGAAAAAGCTTAAATCTCCAAGGCAGGTGATATCTTAGCAAGAAATTGTGTACTTGTATGAGATTATAATGTATTCATTTTTTACAGTCCGAAAGTAAGATTTAGTTAGTTTATAAGACAAATGGAAAGCTGATTGAATTTAAAGTGTTTGCAGAAAATCTATAAATCTACATGAGCAAAAAAATATAAATCGGTATCAGCCCCGGGAAAGATATATGCTAATACTAAATAAAGCATGAAGACAATGATGGAGTGGTCAAAATATTTAAGCTATTTGATGTCCGAACAAAATAAAGACTGTGTTGATTGAGTCTTTTTACGTATGTATCTAGTAAGGGCGCTGATCAATTGCCATATGAGAGATCCGGATTTCTCATCAATATTAAATGCTTTTTGTACAACGCCTGCTGTTTTTGAATAAAATAGAGATCTAGAGAAACATAGTACGAAAATAAACTCAATGGTTGTACATAACATCGACCGAATTAAAACCACAAGCTTTATTAAACAATAGAAGAGCAGAAAAGTGTTTTTATGGGACAGATTAAAGGGACGAAACGTAAAAATGCATTCCAATTTTATTACGAAATTAAATTACCCATATTTAATAAGTAACAGCGCATTTTGATTTGCGGTTAGCCATAGACTTTGCCAAAGGTCTTGATTTTTATGCCATCCCCTCTGAGTCCCTGCACACTTTCCACAGCAAAGTTAATGGCTTACAGTTGAGCCAGAGGCATCATAACCTCTGTGCCTGTTGCTGACAGGCCCTCGAATGCGGCTTAAACACCTTGGTGGCAGAAGAGCGACAAAGAACCAAATTACCTCCAGGTAATCAGCGGCAGTTTACGTTTGTTCGGTCCACTAAACTTTTACGGCCGGTCCACTTATCTTGTGAATTTATCTGCGAACCGCACGGAAGATGACTTTCGCTCCATCTTAATGACAGCTGGTCTGATAGGAGGATCTGGGCCTGGGGCCGGCATATTTGCAGCGCGTCCTTTATGTCTCATTAAAACTTTACGCACATCAGAAGCAGCAGTGGCAAAAAGCTTAATAGTTTAATTTCCCGGCAGGAGACCCAAGACCTCAGAACGGGTCAAATGAAAAAAGGTAGTTGAAAGGTAAAGACAAAAGGTAACCAAAATAAAGAGAAACGGCCAACATTTGGTTTTAGGTTTCTTGGTAATAAATCTTCTTTTTCTGCTGACATGTGAGTAATCATGTGCGAGTGGGGTTGGGTCCCTGAAAGCAGGAAAAAAGAGTGGAAACAGGAAGAGGTTGGGGTGTCTGACTTTACGTTCCTTTTTCCTGACTGCCCTTAGATTCCTTAGATTTGCGTGTTCTACATTTTAATACTGTTTGCTTTTCGTTGAGGTTTAAAGAGGGAGTCAAGAGAATTGAAAAAATATATTTTTAATTACGTAATCAGTGCTATGTCTTTTACATTTTTATGCTTAACCCGAAGTATGCTCGTACGCTTTGCTACGGTTTCCGTTTCCCCTTTCTTTCGGTGGACCTAATTTACTCATAAATCGCTTTTAAACATTTTTAAAAATTACATTTTCTAACTTACGCATTGTTGTCTTCATTAAATAAACTGACCAATACATTTACCTTAAAAAATTAAATTCTATGGCCATAGTATCTACTATGAATAAAACATTTATACTAATAATAATCATTTGTAACAGACATTCATCCGTCTTACTTACTTGTTCTAGATCTACAGATTTTTGTGAGTTTCTAAATCCATGTGGTGCACAACAATATTAGTTTTTCATTATTAACACGTACTATTTTTTCATGATTTTCATTAACACACTCAGTGGTTTTACTCATTACTCCACATTTTTAACTTTTAATAAGCTACAACTGCATATATAACTTTACTGCTTTTGCAATAATAACTTCAACCTAAGCAGTGGCGGATCTAGGGTTGCTGGCGCCCGGGGCAGAGCGAAAAATTCCGCCCCCTCCCTATTTGCTGTACGAATAACATTAGGAGTATTTAAAGTGTAAATAGGTTATTAATTATTAAAAGCTTATATGTTTGAAGAATTGTATTTCATATCGATTCTTTTGTCAGTTACAACGGAAAAAACATTATTATTTGTGTTTTTGCAAGACAAAAAAATATCACTTTTAGAATATAACTTTTCTGGCCTTGATTGCCGCAAATTCAGCAATAATATCATTGTAGTCGAGTGATGCTGCTACTTCATTTTCGATAGGAAAATATGAATTCTCGAAACATATATTGCTAGTCGGACTCGATTTAGCGCCTCTTAGACTTGGCGCCCGGGGCGCTTGCCCCTTTCGCCCCCCCCTAGATCCGCCACTGAACCTAAGCCCGCATATTGCAATCGTTCTGCAACGCCAAATGTAATTCTTAAGTACTTGTACATTCGGGTATTTTACTTATATTGTATGCTATATTTTACGATTCATTTCTGTATTTCTTTTTTTTCGGTGACACTTAAAGTTTTGTTATTTCACATTTAGTTAATGAAACTATTTATTCTGCTCGAGTACATTTGGTTGAGGAGAGCGCTTTGGAACGAACGCATCGCGGCAAAATTTCAAAACAAACTGATTGTGTGAATTTTCCGAACTGGTCCATTGAGTCAGAAAAGCAAGTGGAAAACAGCAGCAGCGACTTCGTAGTCGGCATCATCTCAATTTGCTCTCTTCGGCGCTCCATTCGCGAACCGCTCTCTTGTGCGAAACAGTGGGAAATTTTCCTGGTTTTGTTTGGGAAATTTAGCGTGGAAATGCTGCTGTTTCTGCTCGCTGCGATGGGCGGGAAAAGTGGCACGTGCTCCTGCTTTGGGCCGTCAACGTCTGCTACGTGATTCTGGCGGGTCCCTCTCCTTCCCGAGTCTTGTGTACTTTATGAATGAGTTACATACACGCACACATGCCCTCAGAAGGCCAGAACTGAACGGAACAAATAATCGCTGATCGCCCGCTTGACAGCCTTCTAAACAGAACCTATTTATATGTACACCCTTTCAGAGGGTATTACGATATCAGTCAAAAGTTTGCAATGCAGTGAAGGAGAGGAAACGAGCCGGATCGAACGTCATGTTATTTAGCCGCCATATGAACGATCGGAAAATAATGAAACAAATTGAAAACGAACTATACATACACAGCTTCGGTATTTATACAATATTATCATCTGTTCTTGCCCATTTCTTTAATATTTCAGAATTTAGAATACAAATTTAATTTGGACGCCTATATCATGAAGCTGTCGGTGGAACAGTAAGATAACTAATGAAAAAAAAATAACACAAATTGTTGATTTTGATTATAATCTCTTCTACTCTGGGAGGTATAACTTTTTTGATATTTTAGAATCACTGTGGACGGCAGTTTATGTAGTGACGGAGCGCAGAGTGTGCAAAGGCGACTTATATACATAGCCGCATAGCGCACTCGCTACACCAATCTCAAGGACTAAATGGATTGCATGCCAACAATTTAATAAAGTCAAAATTTA